CCCCTGGTGCTGGTGGGCCCCTGGTGCTGGTGGGCCCCTGGTGCTGGTGGGCCCCCTGATATCAGTGGGCTATAGACCACGGCTTACTTGGACCATTGGGCCATTGGGTAATCCGGCCGTGTTAGAGAGATTATTCAACTAACATAACCTATGCAATGTTCTCTCTGCACCTTAATTATCTCCCACACACAAAACAGTAAATGTCAAGGTTACCCTAGAGGTCAGAGCGCTCTCAAGGGCATCTCTCGGTAAAAGTATTTCCTGAATAACAGAATATTTTCAGCTAGGGCATTGTATCATTTCCTGCTTGTAGTGCACAGTTGTGTACGCTGTGAGTACATTATTATCACAGACCATTTACCCTGTACTTGTGTCGGACCATCCGGGCTGTGGTGGGTATGTGGGCCTGCGGGCCGCTCCAAGCAACAGCCTGGTGGACCAAACTCTCACAAGTCAAGCCTGGCCTCGGGCCGGGCTTGGGGAGTAGAAGAACTCCCAGAACCCCATCAAGCAGGTATCAACCAGGTATATCTTAATACTTCACAGAGCGGCCGTTAAAATGCAAGTGCGAGTAAGCAAGCCAAACACAATATACTTAGCTCTTGTCAATATGGCTTCAGACCCCAAAAAAGCACTAACGATGCACTTATTAGTATGATTAACTTGATTCATGCAGCTCTTGATAAAAATGAGTTCCATGTTGGATTATTTGTGGACCTGCGTAAGGCTTTTGACACTGTCAACCACCAGAACCTTCTTCTTAAATTACATCATTATGGAGTCAGAGGACACTCCCTACAATACCTCAAATCTTACCTTACTGACAGGCTCCAGTATGTTTCTGTGAATAATTCAATTTCTCCCACCCTACCCATCAACATCGGTGTTCCTCAGGGCAGCATATTTGGCCCTCTCCTCCTTCTCATCTACATTAATGACCTTCCAAATGCCTCCCAACACCTCAAACCAATTCTATTTGCTGACGACACAACCTTCATTTACTCCAGTCCTGATCCCCTTGCTCTAAATGCCACAGTAAATACTGAGCTAAATAAAGTCCATCTTTGGCTAACTGCCAACAAACTCACCCTTAACATTGACAAAACTTTCTATATTCTGTTTGGCAATAAATCCTCTAATCAAATAAATCTCAAAATAAACAATACCCAAATTTGTAACAGAATAGATGGCAAATTCCTTGGCGTTCTCATTGACCACAAGCTGAATTTCCAGGGACACATTCTAACTATATCAAAAAAAGTTTCAAAAACTGTTGGCATTCTTTCTAAGATCAGATATTATGTACCCCGCCCTGCCCTGGTGACTCTCTATTACTCCCTCATCTATCCATATCTCAACTATGGTATTTGTGCTTGGGGCTCTACTACCCAAAATCATTTACGTCCTCTAATTACTCAACACAAAGCTGCTCTTAGGACAATATCCAACTCTGGCCCCAGACATCACTCGGTACCCCTACTCAAATCTCTGAATATGTTAGATATTAAGTCACTGCACATTCTCTCATGTGTATTATACATATATAAAACGTTGAACTGTAATGCCAATCCTGACCTCAAAAGCTTCATTGAAGGTTGTAACAGAACCCACGAGTACCACACCAGAAACAAATACAGTTTTGATATTCCAAGAGTACGACTTAATCAAACTAGAAATGCTTTACAAATCAAGGGACCCAAATCAAGGGAAATGCTCTACAAATCAAGGGACCCAGAATGTGGAATGACCTTCCCAATCATGTTAAAGATTGTACCTCTCTAAACCAGTTTAATATAAAAACGAATCACTACCTAATAAATTCCCTGTAACCTACCTTACCCCTCTATTGTCAACCTACCTTGCCTTACCTTGAGGTTACTTTGAGGTGCTTCCGGGGCTTAGCGTCCCCGCGGCCCGGTCGTCGACCAGGCCTCCTGGTTGCCGGACTGATCAAGGCTGTTGGACGCGGCTGCTCGCAGCCTGACGTATGAGTCACAGCCTGGTTGATCAGGTATCATTTGAAGGTGCTTATCCAGTTCTCTCTTGAACACTCTGAGGGGTCGGCCAGTTATGCCCCTTATGTGTAGTGGAAGCGTGTTGAACAGTCTCGGACCTCTGATGTTGATAGAGTTCTCTCTCAGAGTACCAGTTGCACCTCTGTTTTTCAACGGGGGTATTCTGCACATCCTGCCATGTCTTCTGGTCTCATGTGATGTTATTTCTGTGTGCAGGTTTGGGACCAGCCCCTCTAATATTTTCCACGTGTAAATTATTATGTACCTCTCCCGCCTGCGCTCAAGGGAGTACAGTTTTAGGCTCTTCAGTCAGTCCCAATAGTTTAGATGTTTTACTGAGTAGATTCTAGCAGTAAAGGATCTCTGCACGCTCTCCAGGTCAGTAATTTCTCCAGCTTTGAAAGGGGCTGTCATTGTGCAGCAGTACTCCACTCTAGAGAGCACAAGCGTTTTGAAAAGTATCATCATCGGTATGGCATCTCTAGTGTGAAAAGTTCTTGTTATCCAACCTGTCATTTTTCTTGCAGTTGTGACGGCTACTTTATTGTGTTCTTTAAAGGTAAGGTCTTCCGACATGAGTACACCCAGATCCTTTACATTGCCTTTTCGTTCTATGTTATGATTTGCCTGAGTTTTGTACGTGGTTTCCGTTTTTATATTTTCATTTTTTCCATAGCGCATGAGCTGGAACTTATCTTCGTTAAACACCATATTATTTTCTGTAGCCCGTAGAAAGACCTGATCTACATCTGACTGGAGGTTCGCCGTGTCCTCTATGTTGCCTACTCTCATGAAGATCCTAGTGTCATCTGCAAAGGATGATACAGTGCTATAGGTTGTGTTCTTGTCTATGTCCGAAATGAGGATGAGAAAAAGTACTGGAGCAAGCACAGTACCCTGGGGGACTGAGCTCTTCACGGTTGATGGGCTGGATTTTATTTTGTTGACTATTACACATTGGGTTCTGTTGGTCAGGAAATTGTAGATCCATCTGCCTATTTTTCCGGTAATTCCTTTTGAACGCATTTTATGTGCAATAACACCATGGTCACATTTATCAAAAGCTTTTGCGAAATCTGTGTAAATTACATCCGGGTTTTGTTTGTCTTCCATAGCATCTAATGCCATATCATAGTGGTCCAGCAACTGCGACAGGCAAGAGCGCCCTGTTCTGAAACCATGTTGTCCGGGGTTATGGAGTTGCTGTGATTCCATGTATTTTGTGATTTTACTTCTTAGCACTCTCTCAAAATTGTTTATGATGTACCTATGTCTGTTTTTTTAAACAACGCTGTTTGTCGACCTAATTGTATTTGTGCTGCTTTTTCAGCCATGTTCCCCCCCTTTTTAATTTTTATATTTATTTGTTCTCAACACATTTTATTCTTTATACTCAATTAGTATTAAGTTTTAGTCATTAATGTTTTTCCTGCCCGAAATGCTTTGCGTAATAGTGACTTTAGGCATTGTATGTACTAGCTCTATCTATAAATCTATCAATTTTTGTAAAATCTCTTGTATGTATGTACCTTACCTGAATAAACATTTAGTTATATATTTATTTATTTAACCACGTTTCAGTAAGTATAATAAAAGAGAATTTGTTGCCAATAGTTTCAATCAAGGCACTATACATCATCGAAGTGTTTACCTAGACATCTAACGTTCAAGTTGATGTTAATACATTGATGTTATGTGTTAATACATTGTTTACATCATGTGCTGTAAAATATCTGCAATTTTGATCATTAAAGTGATGATTGTCATAGATAGTGGATAAGAGGTTTAGTTCTGGGTCTATACTTGTCTGCATAAACAGGCTGGTTGTAGAAAAACAAGGCAAGAATGGCTATTACAAAATAGAATTTTGATTTAAAAGGGGGAAAAAATTTATAACAATAGAATGGAATGATTTATGAGAAGTGATACCATCCTCACCGGGGGATGCATGTGGCTTTACCTTTGTTTAGGGTCGAAAGTAACTTAAATTCAGTAAATGGCACGTAGCGTTTATCTTCCTTGTGGAGCATGAACTCAATGAGCCTTTCTCGATCTCCATAACCAGCATTTAATCTGAATTGTGTTTCTGGAGGAAGATTATTGAAGCTAGAGGTGGTTGCCCAAGCATCGACTAACTCGTTTGCTCTGTGTAGAGGGTGAGGGTGTGACATTTGGCCGATCTTATCGCCTTTAATTCTTTTAATATCCTTACATGCCTGGCTGAGGGAGGGGTGTGAGAGTTGAAACTGTTAACAAACGTTTCCCAGTTATCTTGCCTGAGCTCTGTCATGCGCTCCCTCGCCTTGGCTAGGGCTTTCTGGAAGAGGTTTAGCATTGCTGGCGTATGTGCTTTCCTATATGCAAGTCCAACTCTTCTGGCAGTGCGTTTCAAAGTACGCAGTTTGGGGTCATTGTAATAGGCATGGTGTTTATTACTTTTCATACCGTTCCGACATAAATTAAAGAACAAAAAAATATATATACCAAACAGCAGTAGTTTTAGTTTAGTTCATTTATTATGATCGAAGACCGCGAAACAGAACGTGATCCAGGGGGGCCCCAGGAGGAGTGTCCAGCCGTCCGCTCGTCGTCAAAGTTGAACGTCCTGTATGGTAGTGATTGATTGATTGATGGAGATGAAGCCAAATAAGAGGTGGCACGGGGATGAGTAGCCCGTAATGTATGGTAGTGTTGACCAATTTGTATTTGTAGTGATTATGCGGGCGGGCGTCGTTCTTACGAAGCCCAGATTATTACATAACTCAACTTCATTTAATAACTATATGGCTGTTTAGTAGAAGATTTTAACTGGTAACAGCATTATATTATGGTTTCAATATTGACTAAATCATATCTATAAATCCAACTTTATGTTTGTAACTCATCTTCAATGTATGTACTTTTACCTGAATACAAATTTTGTGTCGGAAATGGTACAGATATATATATGTGTGTGTGATCCGTGGTGTGTCTAGTGGGATCCTCCGTAGGTAGGTGGTGCGGAGAGCCATCTGGCGGTCACCTTGGCGGCTGCCGACCAAAACACCACCAGACGGGCTTTTCAGCTGGTGTAGGTGGTGGGGCACCTTACACGACCTGGGCAGCATGTCTGCCTAACCCTCCTCACCAACGGCACCTTCACCCACCCTAGCAGCCATGGACTCGGACCCGGAGAACCTGGAGAAGCAGTTTAGGTGAGGAAGGAGCCCGAGGGAGGCGGTGGTGGAGGGGACTGCGGCCTCGGATTCTGTTTTTTCAATTTTGTTTTTTTGTTTTTTACTTTTTTGGGAGGGATTTGTTGGGTGGTAATGGGTGTCGACTACACCAGGCATGGCATACTGCTGCTGTTTTATATTCTAGTTCATGGGGTGGTTCACTAGTAAAGGCGTATACGGTCGGCTTTCAATTTAGCTTTTGTTGGGCTGCTGTATTGTCAGTGTTGGTGACTGTTGGGGGACAACTTCTGGGTACGGTCATATTGTACATAATTGTACACAAAACTTATATTCTGATTTTTAATCTTGTATATTGTTAAGTTATGCTGGTTGGATTGACATAGGTTGGCTAGGCAATTTTAAATTAAAAATCCATTTGACAAAGTGTTTGGTATGAAGTGCCCTGTACCCTCTACTGACTGGCTTCTAGTTTTTTAAAAGTACTACTTTATAGAAATTATTGTGTGTAACATCACTGATGATACTGGGTAGTTTCCAGGGCTTTTAGTAGGCCTATGTTTGAGAAGTGGTGTCTTAACCATGTTCCCACTGGTTTGAGGTTGTTTCCATGCTGTTTTGAAAAATGCAGCATTTATGGAGGAGTAACCAAAGTAAAAATGTGAGTAAACAAAACTATTACCTAACAATGATTGTGGATGTGTTGGATGCAAGTCCATGGAGGCGATGCACTATTTTGATGATGTATTGAGTAATGCAAGATCAGGGCAGTGATAGTTGGTTTTTCATGTAGTGTCCCCATAGCTTTTATATATAATTGGCCTTTTTTAATTTATGAAATTTTGTCTAATTTATATCTGAATAGGTCACTGGGTCTAATTTATCTTACATGTGGTATCAGAAACTATATAAATTAACAAATTATTGTTTTATTTTCAAAATCCATTTTTCCCAATTTTTTTTAGTATAAGAATATGCATTAACACTTGAACTGCTCCTGTCTTCTAAAATAGATACTGACAGTTCTCCTGTCACCTGGGATGTGCCTTATATATTATATATTGTGCATTATATAAATGTGCCTTATAATATTCAGAACTCAAAGAATCTATGTGAACATCATAGTACACTAGAGACCTCTGGCAGTCATTTATCATATGAATGGGAAAAATAATCCTGAAAGTCTTACTTGCCTTCCTGGACATTTTTAAAAAAATTGGGACCATGTCAGGTGCATCACCATCCATTTATTAATGCACAGAGTAATCACTCTAATGTGACTGCATCAGTGAGAAAATCCGTAGGAGCCATGATGAGGATTTGAACCTATGTGCTGGGTGTTTCCAGCCACACACTTTTTAGACAACTAGACCATGACATGGTCAAAAAGGATTGAAACTTGGAGTACTACTGCACCCGTGAAGATTCTTTGAGGCTTTCACTGAAGCCGAACCAGTGGAATAACGTGTGGGAGTGTAGAGCATAGAGCAAAAGGATTGCAGCCCCAGGTTGCAATCCTTTTGACCATGTCTTAGTGTAGTCTAGTGTGTGCGCTTGGGAACACCCAGCACATAGGTTCAAATTCTCATCACTGCTCTTATGGATTTTCTCACATACTATTGCATATGGTAGGAACCATTGATGCAAAGCAAAATTTCTAGTACTTTTATGGACCAGGAAGATATGTGATAATGGGAAATCTATTATAAAGGTTTTACTGGAAAATTAATTCTCAGAATTTGACTTTCTAACATTTCTTCACGAAACTACAGCCAAACTAAAATACTGTAATTTTTGTTTTTTTCCCAGACAAATGTTTTACAATATATAATGGAAAAAAGAATTTCCCATTTGCAGTAATAGAAGCATAATAATCATGGCCAAATTATAGTACAAAATAATAAAAAATAAGATGTAACAGAGGTGTTAGGAACAAGCCATTCCATTTGAGAACATTTTTTTTCACCCAATGCTTCTGTTCACCTAGCAACAAATGTTACCTGGGAGTTGGAAAAATTGTTGTGGGTTGCATCCTGGGAAAGGTCAATAGCTGGGCCAAGGGTTCCATTGTTAGGTACAGGATTTGTCTCCAACAATGGAAAACTATTATAACTAATATGTTAATTCTTCCAAAGATAATTTTTGTTATTTTCTTCAGCAACAGGCTGTTACTTCGTCATGCCAGCCAAAACTCTCTTGATGAGAGTTCTCAGAAGCACATTCCACGTTCAGAGACAAAACACAAGCTTCCTTATAGGAATCCTCAGCACTTTCCTCGAGCATTTGACAATTTGAATTTGATGCGCAGGTGAGACTTAATATTCTGCTATGGCAGAAAAAGTAAATTTATTTTTCATAAAATAATATAAGAGATGTATCTGGCAATAGTGGCATAGTTTATATCCAAATCTAGCTTTTCTTTTATTGTTCCCAATATTCCTAGGTTACAAAGATAATCAAAGGTCAGACTGGGCAAAAAAAAATATATATAAATTTTATGGTGCAGTACTTTTCTGTATTGGATTCAGTTTGATGTCTTACATTTTTTAGATACAGTACTGTATATTCTGAAATGTGTACTATTTGATGGTTTTCATGTAGGTTAGCTTGTTTCATGACAAAAATTGCCATGTATTATGGCCTACTGACCATGTTCAGAAAGTAATCAATGGAAGTTTCAAAGTAAACAGCAAGTATAATTAACCATTTATGATGGAGTATGAGGACTATTCATCATGGGTCAGGAGGTTAGTCCTCCACACCCATAGTGGATATTACTTTAGTCCTGGGAAATATTTTAGTGATAAATCTGATGGCAAAATTTTATGTTTAGCAGATCAAATTTAACACTTTGGCGTACCCCGCGCGCCACCCCTCAACTGTGCGATATGGGACCCAGGGTGTCACGGGAGCGCGCGTAAATTCTGAAAAGTGTATACTCTCCAACTTTGTCACCTTAATTCTCATCCTACGAGATTAAATTTTGTATCATTGTGTTTGTAATAGAATTCTCTACAGCACTAAATGCATATAAACTCCAAAAGCCCGGCTAATTACCCGCAGCAAACAGAGAAAGTGCGAACGAGTTACCCAGGAGCGCGCAAACGCGATAAAATGTTTTCACTATTTTCACTCTGGTCACCTCAATTTTTGTCCTAGGTCTTTCATTTTGGTCTCAATGGGTTCGCAATAGAATTCTCTAGAGGAACATTAGCATATAAAATAAGAAAACCTGGTCATGCTCCAACCGCCGACGAGTTGAACACGGGCCACGCGTTAGCCGCAAGTGAGCGCTCAGACGCCTTCCAGCTACACTCCCAATTCCCGCCCTTTTTAAGCCTTTCTTTCGCAATTTTCATCCTGGAAGGGCCTTGTTCATGATCACTATCCATCGTGGAGTAAGCGTAGATAGTTTCTAAAGCCGCAGTAAGAAATGTAGCCACGGAAAATAGCCGAAATGTTCACACGTTTGAGATGCAAGGGGAGGCGACATTGGTCACAACAGTGGAGCGAAAACAATGGGCCCACGGCGTGTGCCAAGCCGCCTGAGGGCCACGAGGCTCAACAAAGAAAATGGGAAGACATCGGCGCGCATTTTAAAACCAGTCCAAAAAAAATCGGATAAAAACCTGATTTTTGGCGATTATTTAAAGTGGATGACACAATGCTGCGTCATCCCCGGCATTACCGACAGTAAACGGATGACGCAATGCTGCGTCATGCCCGGGCGAAAGTGTTAAAAATAAAAATAAATTTGGGATTTTTTTTTTTCAACAGCAGTAAGTTAACCCTCAAACCGCGCATATCATATATATATATATCAGTGACAAAACCGAAACCGCGTATATCATTTATATATGATTTCGTGTCTAGCGCTATAATTTAAACGCCCTGGGTGGGATAGGGGTAGTCATCGGCGAGCCTCAACCGACCATAAACAAACCCCACCTGGGAAAAATCCAGCGTGGGTCCTCTTTGTGTACAGACCTCAGTGACCCGGCGGACACCATGGCGAGTGCATAAAGTTCCGACGACCGACTCCGCTCAGCGAGGCATTCCTCGCGACCTCTGACTGAGGACGAAATTACTCTTAATTTGTTCCCGGATGGTGATGAGTCTGATATAGACGACTCAGACTTTGATCATGACTACACACAGCCCTCAGAGGTGGATACGACCGACGACGAGTGTGAACATGCTGGCTCCACCAGGGCTAGGCCTAGCCCTAGCATCTCGCCCATGCCTCCTCGCCCTCACTCGACCCCAATTTGTGCAAGACCACACAGTTCATGTGCTCCCTTGCAAGATATTGATGTTTTGCTCGACGATTCTGAAGGTGAATCATTTTCCGGTTTTAGTAACTTAGAAACAGAAAATAGTTTCGCTAGTGCCAGTGGAGGTGTGTGTGGTGTTGCCAAGCGACAATTTGTCGCGTCAGCAGCATCTGGCCAAGCCATGCGGCACCGCATGGCACCACATGAACAAAGACCCTCAACATCGAGGAATTTTCCATCACCGTCCCTGCCCACCCCTACTGTTCCTAGACCTGCTTCGGCTCCTGGTCCACGGTTTCCTTGCCGTGGTGCCGCTATTGGCTCTCGAAAGACACCCGGTGTTTTTGTGTGGAGTGATGGGACAGATTTTGTTCCACAAATTCCTGTTTTTGATAATTCGGATGTTGGAATTAGACATTTTCCCTGATAAAGGTGCAGATATGTGCGAAATGGACTATTTTACTGCATATTTTGATGAGCCGCTAATGGAACATCTTGTTCATGAGACGAACAAATATGCGAGTGATCTCATTGATGAGGAGGAGTTATCCAATTATTCACGTTTGCAGCTATGGAAAGATACGACTGTAGGTGAAATGTGTGTGTTTTTGGCACTGTGTATGTTGTTGAAACATTGTGTCAAACACGTAATCGACCATTATTGGAGCAAAGACCATACTGTTCCAACACCAATGTTCAGCAAATATATGTCTCGAGACCGATTTGCGATAATCCTCAGGCGTCTTCACTTTGCAAATGATGAAGACCGGAATGATGATGATAGGCTTTGGAAGGTAAGGCACGTCCTGAATGAACTTATCGGAAAGTACAGGGATTTCTACGTACCAGCTCAGAAGCTTGTGATTGACGAATCCCTTGTGCTTTTCAAAGGACATCTTGCCTTCAAGCAGTATATTCCCTCCAAACGCCACTGATTTGGATTGAAATTCTTTGTACTCTGTGACTGTGAAACAGGAATTGTTACATATGATAATGTATACGGGTACAAATGTAGACATTCCTGCTAATCACCAACATGGCTTTTCAGGTAGTGTTGTGAAGTTGCTGCTTGCACCATATCTGAACAAGGGCCACATATTATACACAGATAACTATTATACCAGTCCCTTGCTAACTAGGTTCTTGCTTGATAATAGAACTGGAGTGTGTGGCACAGTGAAGGCAAAACGAAGGGAAATGCAATGTTTCCAGGTGCTATGCAGGTTGGTGGTTGCGAGCTCGGAAAAACAGGTGGAATACTTTCAGTGCAGTGGAAAGACAGGTGTGAAGTGAACATGTTGACCACCATTCACGCTGGAACAATGCTGGACAGTGGCAAGGTGAACAGAACCACCAGAGAACTAATCTATAAACCTGATTGTGTCTTGGACTATAACATCAACATGCATTTGGTGGATAAATGTGATATGATGGTGGGGGCAGTGGAGTGTGTACGGAAAACAGTGAAGTGGACCAAGAAAATGTTTTTCCACCTTATTGACGTAACAATGCTGAACAGTTACAATATGTATCTTGTCAAAACAGGTGGTAAACGTAATTTTTGTGCATTCAATTTTACTGTAGTAACACAATTACTACAGAAGTTTGGCAAAGTAATTCCTGGTGTACAGAGGCCCATTATGATCCTGGTATTGCACCATGCTCCAACACCCAGGCTCGCTTACAGGATGCCTTTTTGACACACAATCTCAGGTTTTTACCACTAACTGGAAAGCGTGCAGTAGGCCAGCGTGCGTGTGTAGTATGCTGGTCAACAACCAAGAGGGAACAGAAAAGAAAAATGGTGACGACTTGGTGTACAGTGTCAGGTCCCTCTGTGCCATGTCCGATGTTTCAACGAGTATCACAGTCTTCTTGACTTCTAAATGTCCAAGACTGGTGCCTAAACATGTAAATACAGAATAAGTGAGTGTATATAGTGGAAATAAATAATAAGAAATTGTATATTTTATTGTGAAATAAGACATTTCTGGGGGGAGCCCTGTCGGCTCCCCGGAGCTTTACCAGGCTGAAGAGTAAGTCCCTCTCGTTTCATCTTTGGTTAAGTAGCTCCGGGTAGCTGAAGGGACTTCCCCCAGAAAATCAGCATTGAATGTAATGAAACACCATTTTCTGGGTGTCCTTCCCTCCGGTTGGCAGTTTTCGCAGTTTTTGACATCCAGCCTCTGAACTGGGGGTGGATAGCTGGCGTAGGGGATCTGAGAGGGGGACGGGGTAGCTGCGCGACAGCGGCGCGGTGACCGTTGTGACGTGCTTGTTTTTTGTTTGGAGAGTTCTCTTTAACAGTTCAGCTTTCAGTAGAATTTTTTTAACCAGATATGGTTTGTTTTGGGGCGCCTACCTTTCTGGGTGCCTGACCTGGTCAATGGCAGACATAGAATGCTTCCAACCACTCGGGGGTTTCTATAGGCCATTGCTCCTCATGCCTCTCTGAGGGGGGCCAGGTTCTGGCTTGTGGTCCCTGGAAGGCAGAATTCTATTTGCTTGGACTGATGCTACAGTCTTAATACATTCATATCAGCGTGGATAGCTCCGGGAAGCCTCTGGGTCTCGCCCAGAAAATGGTGTTTCATTACATTCAACGCTGGTTTTTTACCTTGTTTTAATGTAACTTTCCAACTTATTTCCTTAGATATTGGCAATTTATTAAAACTTCTCCATGTAGAGAAAACTAATGCGAAGATTATTCTTGCAGGCAAAGCCAGCTTTGTGATGTTGTGCTAGTTGCTGACGATACAGAAGTCCCCGCTCATAAAATGGTGTTGGCATCTTGCAGCCCATACTTCCATGCCATGTTTACTAGTGAGTATTGTACTTCAATATTAATAAATATTAATATATATACTGAGTAACATAGTGTACATAATCTTGTCAAAACTTTATTATATTAAGCACTTTGTTTTACCTTGGAACTAATTTCAATTGATAGAAGGCACTCTTAATAGAATGAACCATAATAGAATGCGAAAATTTTAAAATGTCAAAGTTTGTAGGCATTTCTGTGGGGAGCTTTCATAATTACTAATAATTATGTGGTTAATTTATAAGAATAATTTAGAGGTTCTTCCTGACTACCATTTTTATAGATTGGTACTATGTTAGCTTTTTTCCATATATCTGCTAAGGGTTGGGGAGGTGAATTTCCAGCTCCTTTGTGCACAGTGTGTGGGTGTACAACATGTCAGGAGAAGCAAGTAAACAGTGTGCTCGGGCCCAAGTTCTTTGCATGTGTGTGAGAGAAATATTTGATGATAGGAGAATGGTTTGGTTTAGTCTTGCATTGCTGTAAATTTGAGGGTAGGAGGAGAAAGATGAGGTAGCTGCCAAGAAGGTGGGTTGATGAGGGTAGTGGGAAAGTAAAGATTTAAAGTGACTAGCACATGAAGACACCTACACTTTCAGGTGTAGGTGTCACCTTAGAAGGCACGTTATATGATTATATGAAGACACCTTATATGGTTACTCTATGTTGCAGATGAGAAAAATATTAGGAAATATAGAAAATTGGCAAACAGTCCTAAGGATTGTCGTATTTTGGGAAACATTTACTGTATTTCTAATCTCTTATTACAGAAATGCTGTTTTGTCAGGCATTCTAGTATGAACTTATTATATTACTTCAATATATCAACGACATTGCTTACTGTAATAATATATCAAGATTCATGCGGCAGTTTTCTCTTTCAGGTTTTGAAGAAAGCCGTCAAGAAAGAATAGTATTACAAGATATTGATGGCAGTGCATTGCAACTTCTTATTGATTATGTATATACTGCAGAAGTGTTAGTTACTGAGGAGAATGTACAGGTAAGATATATGCTGGTTCTTGCATAGTTGCCAGTTCTTATTAGTACAGGCATGTGGCCAATATAAATTTAGTTAAAACATAGATGTAAATACTGTATCCTCTTATCTCTATAATGATAGTTTTTCTTTTTAATTTATTGGAAATATTTTTAAACAAAAGTACTATAGTTTTTAAATATTTAAATAGCCTCCTTAGAGTTTAAATTAACCACTGCACTGTGCCACATTATAAAGTGAGACACCCCCCTCGTGGTGTGCCAGAAAAAATTATTTCCAAAAATTTATGTCGCTACAAAATTGTTTAAAAACCCTCCCTTGACCACATATATGTTTAAATAAATGCAAACAAATACTTACTCTGGCTGCAGTGGTGTGCACAAAATAGGGTGTAATGTCAGGGCTGAGTGGTTTCCTGTGGCGGAGACTTCTGGAGGCGATCACCTGCCACATTCAAGAAGAGCAAGTTCCCACAAATAATTTTATGTTCAGTATTTGCACACAAATTCTTTTGCATTTCTTTTGTTATCTTCTGATTTTTCCTATGTATAATGAAGTTTTTTAAGTCATACTGTAGAACATCCATATTGTTGAAGGGAACTGTGTTACACGTGTGACAAATGTGTCCACAAACAATGTTCATTTTTATAATAATACATGTTCAGTTATATACAGGTACAACATATTTACTAAATATACACAATCACAGACTGCAGACATCACAATAAATATTACTGGATGAGTGTGAGATAATTATCACAATCACCGAGATGTGAAACGGTCAGCAGCGCACAAGGTAACTACGCACTCAATGTTGTGTGTTACTGTACTTTCATGTATCCAAGCTTGTGTACAGCAAACACATTTTTGTACCCCAGTCTTTCAGGAGCTGTGTGAGGCATTGTTAGTTTATGAACACGTATCACAACACTACCTTCCACCCTGTATTTCACCAGCAATTGCAACACCATTGCATGACTGAATGTACGGGTTGGTGGTCTCTTGCCCAATTTCGTACGATATATATTGAAGCAGTTCAACGCTGTGACATCCACTATGTGAAAAACAATGTTTTTTGTCCACTTTACAGATTTTTTGTTACTCTTGATGGCTCCAGCCATCAGGTCACATTTATCTATTAAGTACATATTTACATTGTAGTCCACGACACAATTGGGTTTATACATTTTCCCGTGTTGCAAAGTTCACTTTGCCACTGTACACCAATGCACCTGTGTGAATACCTGTCAACATATTCACCTCGTGTCTGTCCTTCCAGTGCACAGATAACATTTTGTCAGTCTTTCTAAGCTAGCAATCACCCATTGCCATACCAGTACAATACCTCTGTGCTTAGCAAACAATCCTACTGGAATGTTGCATGTGATCCACTGATAGGCTATCGCAACATGGCAAGACGTTGGTACAACACACGTGGTCCCAGCGTCTCCGGAACCATCGTGTAACGTTGATAATCCTTCTTGTTGATGGAAATCTAATCCTCTGGACATTGGCAGTATCCCAGCAGTCCAGTGCTTGGAATAATTACTGGTGCGAAGATAACAATATTCAGGACAAGGGCAAATAGAGGCCTTCCTTTGAGCTCCTGAAGGAGGCCTGTTGTCTCCCTGAATGTCCTGACCCGAATGCCGGCACATGCAGGTTTGTTGTGGCCCCTTCCATTCGGGATTGTTTTTATAAGGCTCTTTTCCTATTGACATTGGCCTCTGGGGGTGAGGTTGGAGCTTCATGCTCTCCTCTGGCGCTGAGGTTTCTGCTCTTTCGGTCTTGTGGTCGTTTTGTTCACTTGTAGCCGTCTCCCTCTTTTCTGGCGAAGAATGAGACAGCTGCATTCTGGAGGGGACTGTGGGTTGTTGATGCTTGGTTGGTCAGGCCGGGTGTGCATCATGTGTTGTGTCCGGTTGCGGCTCTCCACCGTTACTTGCGCGCCACGGCTTCTGTTGCCGGGGATGCGCTCTGGGTTGATCCGGTTTCCCTTCTTCCCTGTTCCTGGACTCGGGTCTCTCAGGTTGTCCGCAGGGTTATTAAGTGTAACTAGCCTGCGGTTTTTCCCCGGGCCCACGATGTTCGTAAATTTGCTGCTTTGGCTGCCGTCTTTGGCAACGTGTCTTGGGTGGACATTTGGGCCCGGGGTTTTTGGAGATCGAACAGGGTCCTGGCCGCTTGCTACCTGGTGAATGTTCCTGGGCCTGGTCAGGCCTGCATTGCCTTGGGTCGGTGGTTGCAGCCAGTTGTCTCGTCTTCTCGTTGAGGAGTGAGGACAGACCTCCTCCGTGGTAACTCCCTGTTTTTCCTTATCTTTGGGTAGTTAGCTCCGGGGAGCCGACGGGGTTTCCCCCAGAAAACCAACGTTGAATGTAATGAAACGCTATTTTCTGGGCGAATTCCGGAGGCTCCCTGGCATCCCTCCCTCCCTCCGGTCGGCGGTGTTTTCACATTTTTGACATCCAGCCTAAGAACTAACAGTTGGGTCGCCGATGGTGGGGTCTGGGGCTCCCCCTCTTCCCCCTCCTGGGGAGGGGGGGGGGTTGCACAGACAGCATCGCGGCGACATGATGACATCATGCTTGTTTGCTAATTTTCGTTTGGGGAGTTATGTCCACTTGTTCGGTCTTTGGTCGCAATAGTTAACCAGAATAAGGGTTTGTTTTGGGGTACCTACCTTTCTGGGTGCCTATCTCGGTCGATGGCAGACATAGAATGCTCCCAATCATAAGGGTGGGGGGGGGTCTCTATAAGCAGCCCGTCCTCCAAAAATGGGGTGGTAAATGTAAGAAGACAAATAAGTGCAATTATGTACTATTCATAGCAGTTAGGAATTGTACTTATTTTCACTTAATATTAAATCGTACTGTCAGATATATTGTGAATATTTGAGTTTACCTGAAAAACTGAATAGAAAACCGCAACCTCACCTAACCGTCTTAGTTTTTGAAGATAATAATTGTATTGCTTCTTAATTACAATTAGTACTTAACCTATAGCTATATTGATATTACAGTTTTATAAAACTAATAAAACAAAACTAAAATATATCAATAAATTGTAAAGTAACTCAGAATATTTTAAAATTTTGTATAAAGTCTATATTGTTTAATTAACCTGAAAAAGAAATTCCTGATATTTAAAACTTGTGAATTGCAAATCAAAATTAAAAACGTCATCCTAAAATTCTGAGTGACTTAACAGAAAACGAGAAGAATTAAAGCGGGGGAGGGAGTTGGGTCAATGTAACAGCCCCATAAGTGCAATTATGCACTGCTTATTACAGTAAGAAAGTGTACTTATTACACTTAGTATTAAATCGTACTGTCAATTCGGAGGATGGGTTGCTATAAGCCATTGCTCCTCGTGCCTCTCTAGAGGGGGCCAGGTTCTGGCTCGTGGTCCCCGGTAGGCAAGAACTCCATGCATTGACTGATGCCAGAAAGTTATACATATCCATTCAGCCTGGATAACTCCGGGGAGCCTCAGGGACTCGCCCAGAAAATGGCATTTCATTACATTCAACGCTGGTTTTGTATTGAGAGAAAGAACATCATCTATTTGCTGTAAATTTTAGACTTAGTTTTAGTATGATGCTGTTAATAAAATATCAAAGCTCGGTAGATAATTTACTGGCATCATTGCCAGACTTGTGGTATTCTCTTAATTTCTCCCAGCTTCAAGATAGCATTCTGCATAATCATATTTTTTTCCTCCAGGTTCTTCTCCCTGCTGCCAATCTTCTTCAGCTAACAGATGTTCGGGATGCTTGTTGCGATTTCCTTCAGTCCCAGCTTCACCCTACAAACTGTCTTGGTATCCGAGCCTTTGCAGACCTTCATGGCTGTCTTGAACTACTTTCCATTGCAGAAAGCTACGTAGAACAGCATTTTACGTGAGTTCAGAACAGTATTTGATAGTTATATGCATTACTTTCTACAGATTATTTTTCTGCGATGTCCCATGAAGCCTCAGGGACTGTAGTGGAGAAATAAGAAAATAAATGGTCTAGCCCCTTATCTCATTTGTTAATTTGTTGGAAATGCAGTTGCAGCAGTGTCCCCCTGGTGATCTACTCTATTTACTCTACTAGTTTGTTCTTTGAATTAATATTCCTTGTTTAGATGCTGTACTTGTTTTTCCTTATTATATTTCTTTGTTTTTTCTCAGTTTAAACATGTGGTGCCTCTCATCAATGTGGCAACCAAACCAGCATATGGGATTCAAGGTCAATTTTTCTGTGAAAGTTTGCATTTAATATTTAACAAATGTAGATATTTTTGCAGGTTGGATACTTATCTGATAAAGGTTAAGTTTCAGGTTTTCTAAACTTGCTCAAAAAGTATACATTTAGCATTTTCAGATTGTCAAAAGTCACTAAATATAATTTGCTAGGAACTGTATTCTGATCAGATGATGTGAAGCAAATTGAAATGAACTGAAGACATCTTTGTGTGTTAGAGATTTTTGTAATTATTTGTTTGGAAACACGTAACTTCTTAAAGTGAATGAGTTGTTTGCCCCATACAAGCAGACAACTTTTGACAGTGAACCCTTCATGTCCCTCATATATGTTGTACAAATGTCCATTTAGCTTTAAGAAAACTTGACAAATTACAATTTTAGGCTGTAATCATTTCTTAGGTTCTCTTCAAATTTATACAGTATAGTACAAATAAAATGAAGTAAAATTTCTTATAACAATAGACTCCGTTGTTTTTTAAGATCTGGGCTGGAGAAATCCAAGTTGAGCCAGTAACTTCATCAAGTTCCCAGCCCGACTGGCCAGTAAGCTAAAAAGTTAGTTTCCTCCACTTTGGCGAGTGATTAAGTAGTTTTGATGAAGCTGGAGAATAGTATGTGCTTGGTATCATTATTTTTCAAATACAATATAGCACAATTGACAGAATAATGCTGGATAAAGCAGTAATAGGCAGAAGAATAAATGAATATCTGGAAAGAAGTACAAGTGAGAAATACTTCCTTTTGGTTTGAAGAAAGGATTGCGAGACTGTACGCTTCTGATCTTGTCCTGTGAGTGAACCATGAACATGGAATGACAGAGGTATTAAGGTCAAGCGCTTGAACCATTTAAAACTGTGTGTGTTAAGAGTATAGTCATAAATATGGAGCACTACAATACTTGTAAAATATTGGGAATTGGAAGAAAAACAAAAATGCTACAAGATAATATTTAAAAAATTGCTTTGCAATATTTTTTCTGGGAGGAACCTCTTGGTGGCTCCATGAACTAGCCACCTGGATAACTTTATGCATATGATGTTCCATCATGCCTTTGTGACTCAAAAATCCTTCCACTCTGGTCCCCTCGAGCACAGGGAGCTGGGGACATTAACCCAAATGAAAAGGAAATTTCACTAAAAGGTAGTGCTGCAGAACACACAGCTGCAGGTAAAAATTAGCATCCCTGACAACTAGGAAGAGTAAGTTCATTACCTCTGCTAGTTACAACTTCTATTGCCTGGTGCTCCCTAAGGAAGATCATGTTGTGTCCCTATCACTTACCTGGTCCTGGATTTTTTTCCAGAAAAGTATTGGCTATACTTTTGATAATGTCCTGCAGGGGCTTATGCTTGTGTGTGTTCCAATTTTTGCCATTTGCTTCACATGCCAATTTCTCAGTTGCTTGTGGCTTCCTGAAGCTATCGCTTAAAGATCGCTCCCAACTAGTAGATTCCATCAGCCATGGAGTTCTGTTTGGCTTGACAGGAAACAGAGCCAGGACCTGGCCCCCCCTCACAAAGGGGCATGAAGCAGGTGACACTCTGCAACATCATTGGGAAAGCATCCAGAAAGTAAACGAATCACTAAAGACCACTACTGGGATCAGAGACTAAAACCTCAAAAACTTTCAAATTAACTCCCCCGGTGAGGGAGCCAGTCGGCCGAGCGGACAGCATGCTGGACTTGTGATCCTGTGGTCCTGGGTTCGATCCCGGGCGCCGGCGAGAAACAATGGGCAGAGTTTCTTTCACCCTATGCCCCTGTTACCTAGCAGTAAAATAGGTACCTGGGTGTTAGTCAGCTGTCACGGGCTGCTTCCTGGGGGTGGCGGCCTGGTCGAGGACCGGGCCGCGGGGACACTAAAGCCCCGAAATCATCTCAAGATAACCCCCCCAACAATGTGAACAAATAGAATCTTTCAAAACAAGGGTGCACTTGTGTAACCCATACCTCCCATTAGTTTGTGGACAGAGGGGGGGCTTGGGGTCATGCTGTGCATTGGCAGAGCCCTCAGTTCTGCTGCTAATGCAGAATGAAAAACTTGTCTGCTGTAGGGCTCCTGGATCGTCAACAAGCTGTGTAGTGTGTCCCAAAAGTGTGTGCTTTTCAGCTAATAATCAGCCTCTCTTGGACTGTCCTATATGGACTGTTCTTTTGTTGTGTTGAGGTCAGCTTTCAGAGCTAGCCTAGACTGTGTTGGCATTCTGGCGTGTCGTAGCTTTCCCAGTGCATAGGTGTCCTGCTCAGTTTACCCTTCAGGCCTGGCAATCCCCACTGGTTCAGTGTGGGCTATGAATATTTCTTCTGAACCCATTCACCCTTTGTGCAAGTTTGAGGGTTGTTCATCATCTGTGCCATGGGGCGATGATCATGACTGGTATTTTTGGCCTTTATCACCAACCTCTTGGTTGGTGTCCAACTCTGAAATGCCTATAGATGTGTCCCAGTTCATTTCAAATTTAGAGACTGGTTTGACTACGAGCTGCCAGGGCCATATATATTGGGGATATGGGGGGAAAACAAACTACCATCTTCCCAGTTGTTAGGGCTGCTAATATTTTCCTTACAGTTGTGTGTTTTGGAGCTCTTCCTTTGTTGTGGTATTTCCTCTTGGTCTAGGTTGATGTAGTGTTCCCAGCTCTGCACCTCTTTGAGTGAACCAGATTCTCTCTCTGATCTTTGGTAGACTTTATGACCTGCAAGTGTATGGTGGGACATTATACATGTTGCTTGCTCCAGGGGCCCACTGAGGAGCCCCACCAGAAAGAGGCATTTCAATACACAGATCACAATAGCGTGATGCATCAAATGAACAAATCCACAAGGGCCCTGACGAGGATGCTCTTGGACGTCGGTTTGAATCCTCGTCACGGCCCTTGTGGATTTGTTAATTTGAGGCATTTCAATGCTGGATTTATCATTTTTGAATGTGCCACAGGGTGCTTGAAGCATTGGAAAGTAACTAATGTCCTGGAAGGATAAATTAGAGATTTATATTTAAAACATTTCATGATAAAAAAGAGAAATTGATGTAGCCTTAGTGGATATATGTAGATTGGGCTGCCTGGAAAGTTCTCAGAGAGAATAACATGTTTTATATTGGTAGTTAGTCCATATAAGTAGGATTTAAATAATGTTCATAGATATACAGTACTGTATATGTGTATTAAAAGGCTTGTGTTATGTCTTTTACAGCTAGTAACTTGGGTTTAATAAGGTGTTTGTATATTACATTTATTTTTCAGAGAGGTGGTAGAGTGTGAAGAGTTCCTGTCCTTAACTTCACAACAAGTTACCAAACTCATATCAAGTGATAGACTCACTACCCCATCAGAAGAAAAGGTATGAAGTGATTCCAATGCTTATTTTTTTTTTTTTTAGGTAAGGATGCACATTCCTGTAGATTCAAATTAATGTTACTATTATATCATTCTATACTGTCTTATAAATGGTTGATTAGATCTTTTTCATTTAAATTCATTAGATCTTTGCAGTTACTCATGGAAAGCTTAATAAATAAGACAATTATTAACCGAATGATTTCATTTTTCTGGATAAATTGATCTATGGGCCTTTTCGTTGCAGCGAGAAATTTGCTATTTTACTGTTTGTGCCATAATTAAAGCACCACTGTACTGTATTATTATTACAATAGAAACACGAATGCCCTGAAGATATTTGATAATGTAAACACCTGAAAAATTAATTTTTCTGGGGGGAGCCCCATCGGCTCTTCGAAGCTATCCAGGCTGAATAGATACATGTATGTATAACTTTCTTGCATCAATCAATGTGCACGGAGTTCTTGCCTACTGGGGACCACGAGCCAGAACCTGGCTCCCTCAAGAGAGGCACAAGGAGCAATGGCCTTTAGAAACCCCCGTGTGGTTGGGAGCATTCTATGTCTGCCATCAACCGAATCTGGCACCCAGAAAGGTAGGCGCCCCAAAACAAACTCCTATTCTGGTGAAACTATTGCTACCGAAAGCCGAACGAGTGGACAGAACTCCCCAAACAAAAATTGGCAAACGAACATGACATCATTATGTCGCCACGCTGTTGTCTGCGCAACAACCACCCTCCCCGGGAGGGGTAAGGGAGGAGCCCCAGACCCCCACGCTGGCGATCCACCCCGCAGTTCTCGGGCTGATGTGGTCTTGTGCCTTTGGCTCCTGCATTTTGTCTCTTGTTTGTACCTTGTGGTGTGGACTGTCTCTACTGGTGTTTTGTGAGCCAGGAGTAATATTCTTCAGTACTCGGGCTGCATGCGCCTAGGGCCACTTTCCCTAGGTACCCTGTAAGTACTACCCATGAGGCTTGGGACCACCTTCCACAAGTCAGCTCAGGATCTACCCCCCACTGTGTCTCTTACTGCTCGGTACTTGGCCGCTCTTGGAGTTAACTGGGGTCTTTGTTGCCCGTGTTTGCCTCTGGGTAGGGGGGTAGTTTTCATCACTGGTAGGGTGCGGGGTACTGCACAGCGTTGTCCTCTTGCAGGGTTTTGCTTTTGTTTGCGTGGTGAGGGGGGTCTACCTTGGTGGTTGCCTCTTCTGTGTTGGGGATGTATATATATCCATAATTCTATCTATTCTCAGTTTTTGTATGGTTGGTTGTACCCCTTGCTAGGCCCCTGTGAGTGGACACATCCCAGGGGTTCAGCTATTAGCAGATTGTTTGGTAGTCTTGGGCACTGGTTCGCAGCACCCTGCCTGGGCTTCCCTTAGCGTGTTAATAAGGCTAAGGGCCCTGGGGAAACCCCGCGGGGGCTCCGTGGTCCGATGGATGTGACCCTCGAGTCCCCTCTCGCTTTGTGCGAGTTGGAAGGTTGCTCTGTCCCCTTGTCTCTTTGGCACAATCACCGGTTGTCTCCGTCATGCTGCCTGTTGGGTCAGTGATTCTTTTGACCTGGAGTCGTGCGACGTTAGTTGCCTGTATGTACTCCAGTTCACCCAAGCTACTGATCGTGATTTGAGGGCGCAGGCGATAGCTGCGTTACATGCTAGATTTACGTTACTGCAATGTGCTTGGTTAGTTGCTTCCCCGGATGCCCCGAAACTGCCCTGTTTTGGTTTTAGGGACCAAACTTGGGAGTGGGAATCGCTTCAGCTCTGGTTCCGTCCTCCCCCACTCCCCCTTCTGTTGTCCATCCGGTTCCTCCCTTCTTGCTTCCGGCTCCAAAGCGTCTGAGGGTTTCGGAGTCAGGGCAGGGTTTAGTTGGCGTTGAGACTTGGGCAGTCTCAGGATTCCCTTTCCAGAGTGGTGGCGGAGGTATTCGAGCCGGTCGGCTGAGCGGACAGCACGCTGGACTTGTGATCCTGTGGTCCTGGGTTCAATCCCAGGCGCCGGCGAGAAACAATGGGCAGAGTTTCTTTCACCCTATGCCCCTGTTACCTAGCAGTAAAATAGGTACCTGGGTGTTAGTCAGCTGTCACGGGCTGCTTCTTGGGGGTGGAGGCCTAGTCGAGGACCAAGCTGCAGGGACACTAAAAGCCCCGAAATCATCTCAAGATAACCTCAAGATATAACCTCAAGAGCCTGGTCCTCCTGCCGGAGCTTCTGGGTCTGACCAGTGGGCCCGCCTTCGTTCTTGCTTTTTCGGCTGCTCTTGCCTTTTCTTTAGAGGCGGGGATGTGTGGAGGACGGCTCGGCCCCGGGTCCTCGGGGTGAGGTTCCTGAAAGAGATGGTTGGGTTGACTACGTCTATCTGGACCTAAAAAAAAAAAGGCTTTCGACAGAGTTCCACATATGAGGTGGTTCTGGAAACGAGCATATTGGAGGGGTGACAGGTAAGCTTCTAACATGGCTGAAAAATTTTCTGATAGAAAAATGGGGGTAGTAATCTGAGGCAATGTATCGAACTGGAGAAATGTCACAAGTGGAGTATCAGTATGAAGGATTCAGTTCTTGCACCGGTAATGTTCATTGTCTACATAAACTATCTACCAGATGGAATACAGAATTATATGAACATGTTTGCTGATGATGCTAAGGTAAGAGGAAAGATAAGAAACTTAGATGATTGTAATGCCCTTCAAGAAGATCTGGACAAAATAAGTATATGGAGCACCGCTTGGCAAATGGAATTTAATGCGAATAAATGCCATGTTATGGAATGTGTAATAGGAGAACATAGATCCCATACAACCTGTAAAGTATGTGAGAAATCTTTAAAAAATTCTGATAAAGATGATGATGTAGAGGGGGTCAAGATAAAAACGGTCACCTGAGGCCCACATAAAGAACATTGTGCGAGGAGCCTATGCTATGCTTTCTAACTTCAGAATTGCTTTTAAATACATGGATGGAGAAATACTAAAGAACTTGTTCACAACTTTTGTTAGACCAAAGCTGGAATATGCAGCGGTTGTATGGTGTCCATATTTTTAGAAGCGCATCAATAAACTGGAAAAGGTGCACAGACATGCCACTAAGTAGCTCCCAGAACTGAAGGACAAGAGCTACGAGGAGAGGTTAGAGGCATTAAATATGCAAAAACTAAAAGATAGAAGAGGCGATATGATCACTACATGCAAAATAACAACAGGAATCAAAAGAAATGATAGGAAAGAATTATGATAGGGATGAAGTGCCAGCGTCTTTTTTTTTTTTTTTTTTCAGGAAAAAAGGATGGTGGCGCTCCGGGTTTCCAGTTAATTTAAAAAATCGTGTTTAGCGCTTTGGGTTTCCTTATCATTTTTCAGAGTTAAAGACTGAAATTTTTCAAAGACCATTTTCGGAGAATATGTTCATAGAAGTTTGTTAAGAGTTCTTATGGGAGAAATTCAGTTTTTTCAGGGTTCTTACTGAGAATAAACTCTACCGTCATACATATATTTTAGACTGTATACTTGTAAGTAAAAATCTTACTTGGGGAAACTAGTATATATGTCTATAAGTAACTAAAGTTCCATTTCTCTCACCATCTTCAAAAACAAGAGGTCATAGATTTAAACTAACGAAACAAAGCTGCTGGCAAAAAAATAAGAAAATTCCCTTTTGTAAACAGAGTGGTAGACAGTTGGAACAAGTTAGGTGAGACGGTGGGGGAGGCCAAAACTGTCAGTAATTTCAAAGCGTTAAATGACAGAGTGCTGGGAAGACGGGACACCATGAGCATAGCTCTCAATCTGTAACTACACTTGGGTAATTACTACATTTTATGTAGTAATTATACTACTTAAATTATACTACTACATTTCATGTTGGCATTGGCCTCTGGGGGTCAGATCGGGGAGCTTCATGCTCGCCTCCGGCGCAGGGGTTTCTGCTCGTTTGGTCCCGGCAGTAGGTTTGTTCGTTTGCAACCATCTCCTTCTTTTCTGGCGAAGAATATGACTGCTGCTTTCCAGAGGGGTCCTTGGGTTGTTGTTGATTGGTTCGTCAGGCCGGGGGTGCATCATGTATTGTGTCCAGTTGCGGCTCTCACAATAAAACAAAACTCGGTCAAATCATAGCATAGAACGAAAAGGCAATGTAATGTACATTGGGTGTACTCATGTTGGAAGACCTTACCTTTAAAGAACACAATAAAGTAGCTGTTACAACTACAAGAAAAATGACAAGTTGCATAACAAGAACCTTTCACACTAAGAGATGCTATACCAATGATGATACTTTTTAAGACTTCTCTCTAGGGTGGAGTACTGCTGCACAATGACAGCCCCTTTCAAAGCTGGAGAAATTGCTGACCTGGAGGGTGTGCAGAGATCCTTACTGCTAGAATCCACTCGATAAAACATCTAAACAACTGGGACCGACTAAAGAGCCCAAATCTATATTCTCTTGAGTGCAGGCGAGAGAGATGCATAATAATTTTTAGGTGGAAAATATTAGAGGGGCTGGTCCCAAAACTGCACACAGAAATAACATCACATGAGACCAGGAGGCATGGCAGGATGTGCAGAAAACCCTCATTGAAAAGCAGAGGTGCAACAGGTACTCTGAGAGAGAACTCTATCAATATCAGAGGCCTGAGACTGTTCAACACGCTTCCAATACACACAAGGGGCATAACTGGCTGACTCCTCACAGTGTTCAAGAGAGAACTGGATAAGCACCTACAAAGGATACCTGATCAACTAGGCTGTGATTTGTACATCAGGATGCATGCAGCCGCGTCTAACAGCCTGGTTGACCAGTCCAGCAACCAGAAGGCCTGATCAACGACCCGGCCGCTGGGACGCTAAACCCCAGAAGCACCTCAAGGTAACCTCAAGGTATGTCGTATGGCTGATAGTGTGGTCAATCAGGCTATTGAATGTGGTTGCTTGCAGCCAGATGTATGAATCACAGCTTGGTTCACCAGGTACTCTGTGATCCTGTGATTTTTGTATCGAATGTTGATTTTGATTTTGTGCTTGGCTACTTTATATTTTAGGTATTTGAGTGCGTGATGAGCTGGGTGAGTGGTGATCTGTCAAACAGAGAGCAGTACCTAGCAGAGCTCATGGAATATGTTCGCCTGCCATTACTCTCCCAGGACTACCTCATCCAACGAGTGGAAGAAGAACCCCTTCTGAAGCAAGATACTCAATGTAAGTTGTACCGTGTGTTCTATGGTAAGCAAAATTTTATGGTACTCTTAGGTACTGTAGCAAATTTCAACACAAAGTATTCCTAGTCATGTTTATAACTTATTTTTTTTACATACAATATATACTTCTGTGGATTTTTTTCTTTCTCGTTAATTTCCTGGTCAGGTGGAAATCTCGCTCGAGGAGAAGGTCTAAATTCAAAGGAAAATGTCAGTGATATTAGGAGGATAGGAAAATATGAGAGACAAGAACCGCCCCTTAAGGGTGACATTTAACGGAGTGAAACACATGACGGAAATAGTTAAAAATGTCAGGAAATTGCAGTGTGATGAGGATGGTAAACTTTGGTCAATAAGACAAGTCCTCTCAAAAGAAGACAGAGAAAAGCTGAAAATGAAGCAAAATGTCTAAATGGGAATAGAAATAAAGATTTGTTTTTTTCTACAAAGTGTTAGGGAGACTGGAAAGCTAGTGAAATGGTACATAAAAACAGAGCAACAAAATCATTAGAGGAAAAGGGAGTGAAGGACGAAAAGAAAGGGAACATGTTCCTGAAAACTGTGTATACCAACATAGATGGAGCGAGATAAAAAATATTGGGCTGAAGGATATAATTCAGCTTAAGGTCTCGGATATTGTCGCACTAACAGAGTCAAAACTTGAAGAAAATATTTTAAATGCGGTTGTATTTCCAAGAGGCTACTCAGTTTGGAGAGGTGACACAAAAACTAGGAAGGGGAGGAAGGAATGGGGAGAGGAATGGCTGTGCTGGTGAAAGAACTCCTATAGGTAAGAGTTAATAATTAAAAACCCTTGAGATATTGACATAATGGCATTGCAGGTCTGGAATCAGGATGATAAGCTGATAATTTTAAATGCCTACAGCCCACCAGCAAGCAACACATGGACAAAGGAAGAACTGGATGACAAACGAGAGGGCCTCATAATGGTCATGAGAGAGATTATGGTAAGAGCAGACAAAGATAAATCCTGATTGTTGGTACTGGGGCACTTCAACTTTAAGACAATAGACTGGGAGGCCTACGAAGCAAGAATGGAGGACATTGGGACAGGCAGATTTGTAAACCTCATTTTGGAGACATTCATGTATCAACACATGAAGCAGGCCACGAGAATGAGGGAAGGGGATGTTCCATCAGTACTGGATCTAATACTCGCCAGGAAAGAAGAGGTATTTGATATCCAGTACTTTCCTCCCCCAGGGAAAGAGTGATCATGTTCTACTGGACATTAAATACCCTTTGCGATATTATCTAGTACAGAAAGGGTGAAACAGTTGTTGAACTCGATTTCAAGAGAGGATGCTATGGGGAACTTAGAAATTTTTTTCATGGGTATAAGTGGACAAACTTGTTAGGCAAGGAAGTAAATGAGATGTATGCCATATTTTGTGAAATATACGATGAAGGCACACAACCATTCATACCAAAACAGAGATGCTGACCTAGGAAACAATGTTAGTTCAACAGAAATTGCAAGAGGGCCAGAAATCAAAAGGCACAAGCATAGAATCATTATAGGAAGAGGCCAAACCCCCAAACATACCAGCGATACAGAGATGCGAAAAACAACTACACGGCAGTAAGGAGAGAGGCAGAGGAACCTTCAGAACGGTATAGCAGTTGTTCTTGAAGTTGCTCAACAGATGTTTTGTAGGTGGAGTGAATGTGTGCAGAGACGTTATTTTGGTACCACCCAAAATACCCTCTAGCGGTGGTATTTTGTGTAGCATGGGGTCGGACACAGTGCAACTCCACATATCTTTTTACCACATTCCACAGCTGGAACGTCTGCACACTTCCTTTCTCTTGAAGGTATATCCAACAGGGGATCCTCTCCAATGGGAGCTCAAATGGAGCGCAGCTTCCCCTCACGATGTCTGGTACTCAAGTGGGGTCAGAGCCCTCCCGAAGCGAGCCTCACGCCTCAAGCAAATTATCCACATCTCATAACCAGTCATTTATCTATTTTCTTATTCACTGTCCATATTCTTAAACTCTCTGTAAAATTTACCCAATTACTTTTACATATGAATCTTCATGTCTGTATATCTCCGACCTCCTAGTCAGGTCAGGCTTGATAGAATAATTCTCAAAGGGGAGACTCGTTTTTCGGCTGCCTGGGGTCATAACAGTATATACATGATATGTATATATGTGTATGTGTACTTTTTCTTTCGGAAGGGGCTCTGTTCCCTTCTCTGTTGACAGGGCGCTGGAGGAGCAGCTTGCTCTGTTGACTCACGTATGGTCCCGCTATTGGTGGGTGCATTGGGCGTGGTCGATCCGCCCCCATCCTTCTGGGGTTCCCGTGTGCTCTTTGCAGACATGGGCCTTTCGAATCTGCAGTTCTTCAGGACTTCCTCAGTCTGCACTCTGGTTTCTATGCCCTCCTCGGAGGACTGCTGTCTCTTGTCCGGCTTCTGTTGGGGCCGGGTGCCTGGATGGTGGCCCTGGACCTCCTGGTCACTTGGCACATTCCTCTCCAGGTTTCCAAGACTGGCACAGTTGGTGGTGGGGCTTCAGGCTTGCCGCTTTTGTTGCCTTCCCTATTTTGTAATTGGCACTTGGTGTATTTACACATCTTTACCAGATCTTGGTGCCCTGTCTGAGTCTGCTTGGGATTCGGTGTCTGGCCTACCTCGACGACTGGCTGGTGTGGGCTCCCAGTCGGTCCGCTTGTCTGCTTGCCAAGGGTGTGGTTCTTTTCAGATCGCCGGGTTTGGTTTCCTGGTGATCTGGAGGCCGTTCCATCTGTTTCTGTCCCGGGTTTGGACCTGGCTGGGTCTTGTTTAGGGCTCTTGAGCCACTCCTTGTCTTTCCCTCCGGAAGTGTTGCTGCGGCTGTGGTCCAGCCTTCGGCTGTGCATGAGGGGGGGTCCCGGGTTTCTCGAGCAGTTGTGCAGGAGTCTGAACTTCAATGTACTGGTCTGCCCGCGGGGTCGGCTTCGTAGACTCCCCTTCCGCCTCTCTTGCAATCGTTGGGTTCGTTCCTCCAGGGATCTTGTGTTGGTGCTGTGTCACCAGCTTCCTCTTTGGGGTTTTCGGGGTTCCGTGCCTTGGCACCTCCCCGCTCAATGTGTTCACGGATGGGTCATCTCTCGGCTGGGGCTTTGTGACCAGTGCTCACCAGGTCGGTCGGGGATGGTGGGGTCTGTCCGTCCATCAGGCTCACAGCACGGTTGAGGAGTTCGTGGCTGTCTGGTTTGCGCTTCGGAGGGTTCCAGTCGCGCGGTGCTCTACCATTCAGCTCCATTCGGACTGTTCTCTGGCGGTTGTTTGCCGAAACCACAGGGTTTCTCTTAGGTGTTTGACCTTTGGGGTTGGTCCCTTAGAGTGGCTCGTTTGCTGGATTCTCGGGGTTTGGCTAACTGTGAGGTTCGTGTGCAGGGTGTGTCCTGTTTCCTGGCGAACAACTGTCTCGGTTCATTCCTCTGTTCGCGGATTGGCCAGTCGTCGCCGACTCGTTTTGTTGGCTCTGCCGGACGAATGAACTCCTGGCCATGGACGTCTTCGAGTCGGCGTGGTCTAGGCATTGCCCATTCTATGTGGTGCCCTTACCCGCCTGCGAGGTGTTCACAGTGGATGCCTTTCGGCAGGACTGGTCGAGGTGGGGGTACCTATTCCTCTTCTCCCGGTCCAGCTGTTGCTTCGGGTTCTGGCTCGTTTGGAGCCCATTACCACGAGAGTAGTCCTTATGGTCCCTTGGTGGCTGGCCCAGCTTTATTTTCAGACGCTGCTTGATAGGTGTCCGAACCCAGGACGTTTTCCCCCGGCTCCGCCTCTTTCGGCAGGTCGGATTGGTCCTTGTACGTGACTGGTTCGGCCTTCTACTCGGCTTTTCGCATCTGGTATTTTGAAGTGGGTATCACCATCTCTGTGGTGATCAGGTGGCTTTGTTGACAGTGTCCCACCTGCGAGCTTTGTCTCGGCGACAGTATGACGTTCCTGGTGTTTCTATGCGTACCGTGTCTGGGGATGCTCTTTGGGTTGATCAGGTTCCCCTCATTCCCTGTTTCAGGGCTCGGGTCTCCCAGGTCATTCGCAGAGTTTCAAGTCTTCCAGCCTGCGGTCTGTCGTTGCGCCTGTGCTGTTCGGACGTTTGCAGCTTTTGCTGCTGTGTTGATGTATAGGAATCATTTCGGGCGCAGGGATTTGAGGGTCGCACAGATTCTTGGCCGCCCATTCTTTATGTGCGTCTGCTCCTGTGCATTCTTGTTGCCTTGGGTCGCAGGTTGCAGCCTGTTGTCGCGGCTTCGCGTTGCGGAGTATGTGGCGGCCGCTTCCCGGGTCAGCCCTTTCTTTTCCTTCTCTTTGGGTATAAAGCTCCAGGGAGCCGTAGGGGCTCCGCTCAGAAAACCAGCTTTGAATGTAATGAAACGGCATTTTCTGGGTGAGCCCCGGGGGCTCACTGACAACCCTCCCTCCCACCGGTTGGCGTTTTATCGCGTTGGTTGAAGCTTAGCTTCCGAACTGATGCTAGGCAGCTGGCACGGTAGGTCCGGGGCTCCCCCCCTTCCCCTCTCGGGGCGGGGAGAGCTGCGCGGACGATTGGCGCGGCAGTAAAGTGTGATGTTTGCTTGTTTCCTTGGGATTGTAGGGAGTTTCTACCTCTGTTCATTTTTTTTTTTTTTTTTTTATAGTTTTTTACCATGTGGGGTTTGTTTTGTTATGCCTACCTTTCTGGGTGCCTAACCCTGGTCGATGGCAGATAAGGAAAACCCTAAACACAAGGGGGGTTTCCAGGGCCATTGCTCCCTGAAACCTCTCTGAAGGGGCCAGGTTCTAGCGCTGGTCCCTGGTAGATATGAACTCCTTAGCTAATGTCCCGGTCTAATATAACATACATTAGCCCGATAAGCTCCAGGAAGCCTCCGGGGCTCACTCGGAAAATGGCGTTTCATTACAGTACATTCAATGCTGGTTTTTTCATTTATTCACTACACACAGACGTTATATATAAGTATTTACATGTTTTGTTCACCATAACTACATCTAAGCTTGTATGGTGAGTAAAGGCAAAGACATAGCTACTCGCACAGTCAGCTGGTGGCGGCCGCCCTCAAGGCCAGACTCACTAATATTTCTTTCGACACTATTATTTGTGGTGTTATTACGCTATATACACACATTATATATAAGTATCTACCTGTTTTACTCCCCATACCTGTACAAATAAGCTGGTATGGTGCCCAAAGACCATAATGGCCACCAGTAAACAACATGGCAAGTCGTGCAGACAACGCACCTCTCTCGCCAAAATGGCGGCTCCCAACCTACTCCTATTACTGTTATTACACTCTATACACACGTTATATACAAGTATCTACATTTGTGTTCACCATAGCAAACCACTAAGCTGGTATGGAGAGTGCAGTCAATAAAAGGTGGCCACACAGTCAGAAGACGACGCCACCACCCTCCCACAGCATTACTCCTCCCTCCATGGAGCACAGCACTAAATATCACCACAATCCTGCTATTATCAGAATCCTGGTCAGTTTTATCAGTCAGGGGGCTTCTGTAATACTATCATCGCTAAATAATATCATGAACATATATATTTTGACATTTTTAGGTGATGCTGTGGTCACAAGCTGTACAGCAGTGCTGTGCACTCATGCTGCGTGCGTCAGCCTTGGTGGCTCGCTCAATACCGACGCTCTCACACCCAGGAATGTTGGCCACGATTTTTTTTTCTAGGTGGCGTCTGTCAACTATCGGTCGTGGCTGCACTATAGCTGCCCCTATCCCATGCGGGGGGCATTTAAATTAAGGCGCTAGACACTAAAACAGCTATTAATGTATTGCGTGGTTTCTGTTTTGTTACTGAAATCATCTATACTGTATATGTATTGCGAGGTTTAAGGCACTCTGCGAATTTGGATGGTTAAAGTTATCTCTAAACATATTTTTCTATCATTTGATGATTGAAAAAATATGCTACTCTCTCTTGAACAGGTGCTGCTTTATTATTTATTATGGCTACTGTCATAGGCAGATGTGAAGCAATCATTGCTTCTCCTTAACCTTGGAGGCTACATTTATTTGAGTGATGACTATATTTATTCGTGCACTCATTACGTTTCCCTGTATTTTACAGCGGCAAGATTGCAGCTCATTTTCATGTATCTGGCACAGTATATCAGTACTACTATCCCATACCTTTTTGAAATTTTCCAAACCCATTATATAAATAGTTTTCTTCACTGCTTCAAATCAATTCTACATGTATCTTATCAATGCCTTCAGCTTAGCCACATTATTGCTTTTTCACAGATGTGCTTACGTTATGTTTCTCAATAGATGTTACCTGATACAATATCTGTAATCTTTCTTGCACTCTTCTCATACCATTGAAACCAATCATGTTTAAATTAATTTTTTATTTTTTGTGATCATTAGGTAAATTAGTTAAAAAGCAAGTACATGTACAGTGATAAAGATGAAAAAGCATTAATGTTTTGATTTGTTGATATATAATTGAGCATTAACTATTAGTACGAGCTCTATATTGATGTGTGTTTTAATTGCAGGTAAAGATTACCTGATAGAAGCTATGAAGTATCATCTGTTAAAGGGTGAACAGAAGGCAATGTTTAAATCCCCAAGAACTAAACCTCGGCAGCCTGTTGGTCTTCCTAAGGTAAATTTTAGTGAAGTAAGGGAACATTATATTGTATATTAAAATACAGGCTTTTATATTTGGTTGTTTTGTTTTTGTTGTAGTTGCTGTTATTGTCAGTGTTTTGTGTAATAATTCTACACAACATGAGATTAACCCTTCAGTATACTTTCAGTTAAACACACAGGTGTAACAGAAAATTTGTGTGTGTGTGTGTGTGTGTAAAATACTTTGAAATTAAGTTAGTGTCCAATTACTCATGAAATATTGAATACATTCTGAAATGAGAGGTTCCCATTGTCAGAGACAGGAAGCCCGTTAGACTTGTCGATGCTCCCCTAGGCTCAATACCTGACCATCTACAGGATGCAATCCACAACAGTTGACTAACTTCCAGGTACCTATTTACTGCTAGATGAACCGTGGCATGAGGTGTTAGGGAGTGTGCCTAAGTGTCTACATTATCCTAAGGGATGTAAACCTGGAACGTTTTGGTTGTATGTGAATGTATGGTGTGCACCTCTTTAGGGGATTTACTAGGAAATGTAAGAAATATTGCTGTAATAATGGTTGTTAACATCAAGAGGAAACTAATGACTTCTTAGAGAAAATGCTAGATAAGCTCGTTAATGATGGTTGTGCAGGCCATGGATAGCAGTAACCTAACTGATTCATTGATTGTAAAGTAATCCTGACATTGAGCAGGGCTGTTTTATGTAGAAAAGATCAAACATTTCATATGGAAACAGTATGAATAAACAATAGAAAAAAATAGAAGTACACATACAGTGCATCAGGCATGGTGTTAGTGTACCTGTGAATCAGGCACCTTGTGTCCCATGTGCATGGGACACAGATTTACAGATTGCAGAAGATGAGAGGAAATGTCAGCACTGTGGAGAAATGCCCAACAGATCACTGGAACATTATCTAAAACAGTGCACAGTTACAAAGTAAGATTTCAACTAAGATTTAAAAGTAGAAGTTGTTAAACACATTGGGCATAATCTTACTGAAGTGAACACAAGTCAAAATACCCATACACTGCCAAAGTAAGGCAGAAACGAGTAATACTTAGTAGGCCAGCCATAGGCTTGGGGCCCACATAGAAATATCAGTGAAAAAAAAAGTTGTATAAGTTTGAGGGAATTAAGGTGGTGTGAAGGTGACTGGGTGCATGTGTGGGGGGGAAGGTGTATGGGTGTGGGAAGGGGTTGCTAGGCGGGGAAAGTTGTGTAGGTGGAATCTGAGGCATACATGCAGTGGGTGGCTTTGGGTGTCATTTAGAAAGGTGTACAGTACAATATGTGCAGATGTAGATGTATTAAAGTATTGTACCAACATTAATTCTCTTACAAGAGCCGATTCCAACGCACATACTTTACACAGCATGTAGTAGTCTTGTTTACCTTAGAGGCTTAGTCATCTACATCTGTTTTCTGCTCACTGTCATAGTCTTTTCCTTTATGTCCTGACTGTAGTGTATACTGGTTTCTCAAGAGCTCTTTACACAACTTGTTTGAATGCAAAAACTCATCTACTCGACTAAAGATGTTTTTTTTACACTGAAAGGCTTTCAGTAATTATACTTACCCTGTTGATTCTTCCATATAGTTACAGATATTCTGTAGATTTTTGCTTTCATTTTTATAATGAGAATGACAAAATCGTTCTCTTGAGTAACCATCGACGAGTCTCCAGTCACACTACCACTTCTTCACATCATCATCCATATTTTCCATGATAGCTATGTCTGTTTATTGTCCTCTACCATCCTTTACCATCACACTAAAACACTCACCAACATTCCCTGCTTTACCATATTTAGGTTAAGTTTGGTTTTTCTGATCATCTTTGTTAACTTTTACAAATCTGTTCCTGCTTTTTTATTCATATAATACTGAGCCAGTGCCTCTTGTCATATTCTCTCATTATTTGTTAGAAATGTATGTGAAATTATAGTGTTCTTAATATTATCATCTTGAACTATAATTTGTAATTTATTGCAAGTTCAGAATGAAACATGACTAGAGTACTGTAATCATTTTGCCTATGATTAACAATGGCTAACTGGAAGAAAATTCTTATTTAAATACAGATGTTTCTTTAGTTGTATTGCTGCTGTAGCATATATTCATGATACTGTACAGGCTGAATCCAAAGGTTTCATAGCTTATGGACCTTAAATTAAATCAAAATTGATATTATTATGTAGATGACTCTTGGATGGCTTATAGATAATCTTTGGTTATTGAAGTATTTGTAGATCCTGTTATCATCATAGTTGACTGAATTTGAGCTTGGTTTGAAGTGTGCTGGTTTAATATTGTAAAGATAATCTTTTTGAATGCTTTTTGGTTTTGTTTTTTTCTCTAGTCATTATCTTTGTTGATCTTTTTGAATAAGAGAATGTTTAAGGCATCGAGACAGTTTTCTGGCAGTGTTTTTTATGCATTTTGTGAACTGCTGCACTAGAAAATATTTAGTTTTAAACTTTTCTCATGTCAGTTGATATTTCATCTAGCACTTTGCCATTTTCTAAATGAAGATATATGTATACAGTATCCACTCAATTTAACGGCCTCTTTTATACCGATCTGCCGGTAATAGTGACCGGTTTAGGAGACCGATATCTAGAGCCTCATATACCGGTCTGGCGGTCGATATTACCGAAGGTCGGTATTGGGTTTATTTTGGCATCAGTGGGTCCTCACATGGCAAGCATGCCGCCTACCTCTATTGTCCCCTCCCTCACCCTCGTTGAACCTCTCCCCCACTCCCTCACTCCTGCTCTTCCCCACACCCTCACTTTCTGCCTCCCCCCCCCCCTCCAAGACTGTTTTGGGAATGACTCGGTAGATAGCCAGCCAGCCAGCCAGCCAGCCAGCCAGCCAGCCAGCCAGCCAGCCAGCCAGCCAGCCAGCCAGCCAGCCAGCCAGCCAGCCAGCCAGCCAGCCAGCCAGCCAGCCAGCCAGCCAGCCAGCCAGCCAGCCAGCCAGCCAGCCAGCCAGCCAGCCAGCCAGCCAGCCAGCCAGCCAGCCAGCCAGCCAGCCAGCCAGCCAGCCAGCCAGCCAGCCAGCCAGCCAGCCAGCCAGCCAGCCAGCCAGCCAGCCAGCCAGCCAGCCAGCCAGCCAGCCAGCCAGCCAGCCAGCCAGCCAGCCAGCCAGCCAGCCAGCCAGCCAGCCAGCCAGCCAGCCAGCCAGCCAGCCAGCCAGCCAGCCAACCAGCCAGCCAGCCAGCCAGCCAGCCAGCCAGCCAGCCAGCCAGCCAGCCAGCCAGCCAGCCAGCCAGCCAGCCAGCCAGCCAGCCAGCCAGCCAGCCATCCAGCCAGCCATCCAGCCAGCCAGCCAGCCAGCCAGCCAGCCAGCCAGCCAGCCAGCCAGCCAGCCAGCCAGCCAGCCAGCCAGCCAGCCAGCCAGCCAGCCAGCCAGCCAGCCAGCCAGCCAGCCAGCCAGCCAGCCAGCCAGCCAGCCAGCCAGCCAGCCAGCCAGCCAGCCAGCCAGCCAGCCAGCCAGCCAGCCAGCCAGCCAGCCAGCCAGCCAGCCAGCCAGCCAGCCAGCCAGCCAGCCAGCCAGCCAGCCAGCCAGCCAGCCAGCCATCCAGCCAGCCAGCCAGCCAGCCAGCCAGCCAGCCAGCCAGCCAGCCAGCCAGCCAGCCAGCCAGCCAGCCAGCCAGCCAGCCAGCCAGCCAGCCAGCCAGCCAGCCAGCCAGCCATCCAGCCAGCCAGCCAGCCAGCCAGCCAGCCAGCCAGCCAGCCAGCCAGCCAGGCATCCAGCCAGCCAGCCAGCCAGCCAGCCATCCAGCCAGCCAGCCAGCCAGCCAGCCAGCCAGCCAGCCAGCCAGCCAGCCAGCCAGCCAGCCAGCCAGCCAGCCAGCCAGCCAGCCAGCCAGCCAGCCAGCCAGCCAGCCAGCCAGCCAGCCAGCCAGCCAGCCAGCCAGCCAGCCATCCAGCCAGCCAGCCATCCAGCCAGCCAGCCAGCCACCCATCCAGCCAGCCAGCCAGCCAGCCAGCCAGCCAGCCATCCAGCCAGCCAGCCATCCAATAAAGCATTCAGAAACAAGTATCTTATAACCTTTTATTATCCATTACTAAACAATCTGTAACCAAAATATATATGATGAAGCATCCAGAAACAAGTCTGGTTAACCAAGTGTGTTCTTATCAGAGTGAGCCAGTCCCTCCCCACCACTGACACCTCTCCCCCTGCCCCCCTACATCCCATATACACTCCTCCCTATCCTAATAAAGCATATTACTAAACAAAATCTGTACCAAAATATATATGATGATGTCTCTCCAAAATTTAAGAAACAAGTCTGGTTAACTGGGTCAAGTGTGTTAGGCTTATCAGAGTGAGCCAGTCCCTTCCCACCACTGACACCTCCCCCCCTGCCCCCCCCTCCATCCCATATACACTCTCTCTCTCTTCCCTCCATCCATCCATCCCTCCTCCCTCCCTCCCTCCCTCCTTCCCTCCCTCCCTCCTTCCCTCCCTCCTCCCTCCCTCCCTCCCTCCCTCCCTCCCTCCCTCCCTCCCTCCTTCCCTCCCTCCCTCCCTCCCTCCCTCCCTCCCCCTTCCCTCCCTCCCTCCCTCCCTCCCTCCTTCCCTCCCTCCCTCCCTCCCTCCCTCCCTCCCTCCCTCCCTCCCTCCCTCCCTCCCTCCCTCCCTCCCTCCCTCCCTCCCTCCCTCCCTCCCTCCCTCCCTCCCTCCCTCCCTCCCTCCTTCCCTCCCTCCCTCCCTCCCTCCCTCCCTCCCTCCCTCCTTCCCTCCCTCCCTCCCTCCCTCCCTCCCTCCCATCCCTCCATCCTTCCCTCCCTCCCTCCCTCCCTCCCTCCCTCCCTCCCTCCCTCCCTCCCTCCCTCCCTCCCTCCCTCCCTCCCTCCCTCCCTCCTTCCCTCCCTCCCTCCCTCCCTCCCTCCCTCCCTCCCTCCCTCCCTCCCTCCCTCCCTCCCTCCCTCCCTCCCTCCCTCCCTCCCTCCCTCCTTCCCTCCCTCCCTCCCTCCCTCCCTCCCTCCCTCCTCCCATCCCTCCCTC